GGGAGGGGAAATTTGAAATGCCAGAGGGAGGGACAGTAGCTCAGAATCCTTGGAGGCTTACAGATTGATTATCTGAGGAGGCAGAGGAGGAAGAGGAGGAAGAGGAGGGAGAGGAGGAAGAGGAGGAAGAGGAGGAGGAGGAAGAGGAGAAGAGGAAGAAGAGGAGAAGCAGGAGAAGAGGGGTCGGGGGAGGAAATCTGTGCTCAGTTCAGACAGGCAGACATTGCAGCCGAGTGCAGTACCATCAGAAGGGAGGCACAGACTACTAAAATGGCAGGCAGAGGCACAGACTACTAAAGTGGCAGGCTCTGCCTGCCTCTCCTCATTCGTCCCGCGGCTCACATCAGTGGGTGAGTCTGTCAGAACATGACAGGAGTTTGTACTCTGAGCTGCTATGGGACTACGGCCTGTCCCTGTATCTAGACTGGAAGTTACCCCGAATGCAGCTATAATGACTGTGCGTTCAGTTCGGACAAAGACCATAGCCTATTGGTAAGTCCGTCAGAAAATCTGTCAGAGAATGACAGGATTTTCTTACGCTAAGCTGCTTTGGGACTACCCCCTTTCCACGAAAAGATGCCATGGTCATTTTTTGCTGTACCTGGATAAGACGAATAGCCTTCCGAGCAATCATAAAAGTCAAATGATGTCCACACCACTGGAAGAAGAAGAAGAAGAAGAAGAAGAAGAAGAAGAAGAAGAGGAAGAAGAGGAAGAAGAGGAAGAAGAAGAAGAAGAAGAAGAGAAGGAAGGACGAGGGAGAGAAGGAGAATAGGTAAAACTCATCCCAGATATTCCCGAAATGCGACCATACGGCCGAAAAGATTAAAATTTAAGCACCGCCAAAACATCGTAGAATATTCGTGAAGACCTGGCGCAGCGACCCTACGCTGCGTTTCATCCGTCCGCCACTACCGGAATCGTCAGGGGTCTTAGTCGCTAGGAAGAGGGAAAGAGTTCATTGATGTCGCCGAATAAGTACTGACTAGTGCACCGCAAAAGACCAAGAAACCGAGGAGACAAGAAGGGAGCATAGAAAGGAAGACAGATTTTACCCGAAAAGAGAGATAGGGGGGGCAGAAAAAGTCCAGAAAGTAGACCAGTGTCAGGAAAGAGAGACCAGGGTTCAAGACCACACAAAGGACCGAGGTTCGTCAGACAGACCATCATACCCCCACTTATGCGGCACAAAAGTAACACCCACTTCCTGACCCACCTATGGTTTCGGGAAAAGTCAAAAAAAGAAGATAAAAAAAGATCAGAAGTCTTAGATCGCAAAATCAAAAAAATCAAAAAAACAAAAAAACAAAAACAACAAACCAGAAAAACAAAAAAGGAAAAAACCCTCACACTACTCGAGGCCACCGCCTCGTGCCCTTTCCTAGCGTATTAGCGATTGTCCCCACAAAAAGACTCAGCCCCTATCCCGGTATTCGAGGCATCATTTCAAAAACACCCGTTAACTCCCACCAGTCTCTGCACAAGTTAAGATCCAGCCCCTATCCCGGTATTCGAGGCAGCATTTCAAAAACACCCGTTAACTCCCACCAGTCTCTGCACAAGTTAAGACTGCCCGTTGCCTAACCTTTGCCATTACCCTCATGTTTCTCCCAACCTGTGAGCGTTAGAACCCAATCGTCCCAAATCCCGGCAATTTTTGCCGGGAAGGTAGTCAAGCTGTAGTTGTCCGGAAAACCCCTTTTACGAAGCTCGATTTTCAAGGTGAACAGGAAAGCTGCCTCCATTCCCCTCATTGTGGTATATGCCTTCGCCCTGTGCAGACATGAAGTAATTACCGCCATTTTTTTGCTGTCTGCTGCAGTGGGAATCAAAATCCTGTAAATTCTGAAAATGCAATCCTTCCTCGCGGTAATTTCGCTGTGTTTTTTTTTTTTTTTTTTTCTCGAAACAACCCAAACGGTCGCTAGGGGTGCTGATAAGAGCAGACACCTCTCGAAACAACCCAAACGGTCGCTAGGGGTAGTGGAGGAGGTAGGAGGGGGAGGCGGGGGAGGAGAAGTCCGGGGCTGGGGGGTGGGTCATCGTGTATTAGTATAAAATTTGTGGGCTGATGTTGTATAGTGCATTTCTGTTGCGGCAAGAAGTCCCATTGGCTCTCAGTTGTTAGCCATGGTTGCCATTGGAGGTTGTGATCCTTATCCAGCTGACACAGCCTTGAGTTCGGGGCCAGCCATGTTTTGGAAAAGTTGTCGACTAGCCGTGAACGTTTGTTTGGCCGCGTCGTTCTCTTGTTGCAATCGTGTCTGCAGGCCTTTCCAGGCATTGTGTTTGCAGCGTTATTAGATGGCTTATTTCAGCTTTGGCAGCCACACACTGTACTCCCCACGGCCAATCCAAAGCCTTCATCACACAGCCGAGAAAATCCCAGCGGTCACTACCATTGGTTTGCTCCAAAGTCAAATTCTTGTCATAGCGGACCCGAAATTTGCCCAGTATTTCTTCCGCCTTTACTAGAGATAGGGCATCTCCCACCTTATACCAAATGAGAAGGGACACGCCGTCCACCATTCTAATACCCTTCACTAATTGTTGGTCACAACCCAAATTCGTTAAAAGCACACAGGAGACACGCTAGCGCTGGACTGGAGGCTTTACCCATCGGGATCCCGACTTTTTGTTTCAAAACTCTCTCACAGACTTTGAAAAAGGTATGCTCAAGTTCAAAGGAGACAAAATTAACAGCAGACTCCAGAGACATCGTTTCCCACCCCACCTCAGTCTTACCAAATTTTAGTTTGGCACCCTTCCCTCTCGATTTGACCAACACACCCTTGCAGCCTCTAATTGCCCAGAAGTCTACTACCCACCTGACAGCTGCCAAGATTGAAGCATGCGGTGGATTGCAAAACATTTCCTTAATATTGAGGGCAGCACTAACAAACCGTTCACCTTTTCTCAACACGTCATTGTTTTCCTCAAGGTTGGCGCCAAGTCAGTCATGCTTCTAAGGTCAAAGTTAGTTTCATCCGGCAAATCCCACAAGAGCTGATTGACAGTTCGAGCTATCTTTTTGCTCGCGGTCACACCACATTCCGAGAAAGTGGGCCAAATCGGTCGCCACCTTGTAACGTCTTTGTGCTTAGGTACTGAATAGGCCTGCCCCAACCTTCCTTTGCCATTCCATTTGCCCAAACGATCGAAACCCTCCTGTTTGTAGTCAGTGCCCCACTGCTGCAGTACCGACTCCTCATTGTCAACTTCCTCGAAACCTTGGTTAGCCAAAAAGAGTGTATCCATGCTCCCTCTATAAATCATTGGGCAGCAAAAAAGAGAATCTCCTGCATTATGATCAATCGGACAAACTACCAGCTTTCCAAACCTCTGTTTCCACGACCCTACCTCATCCACGCTCAGACCCTTAGTCACTATATCATCACCCGTCTTATTGAAACATGAATTAACCGTTTTTTGGTCAAACATAGCCTCCTGCAGCTTTAGAAGTCGGGCGAGAAGGATAAGGGATATTACGAGAGTTCTTCAAAAGGGAGGGCAAATACCTAGTCCTTTTTTCTTTGAAGCATCTGATTGTCGTGTAGAGACTAACTACCCTTTCCAGGTCCCAATCACAAAGAAGAGTCCGTGTCGGTGGATTCTTGAGAAAGCCCAACAAAACCAGTTTATGGCAGAGCAAGGTAGAACAGTAGTAAGTGATAGTACGGAAATGAATGCTGACTTCTTCAGCTAGCCAGCCACGACTCTTCTTCAAAGATGCACTGCCAAAAACGGTTTCTACTATCGACCCACCAAAACAACGTTTGACGATCCTCCAACTGTCGAGCAAGAGGCTTCCCCCAGAGCAACTAATTACTAGCTGCGTTTTTCCTTTCTCCCGAGCCTGCGACAACAGTTTCATCAGGCTAGCCGAACGTTCTCCCTCATCATTCGAGAAAACAAGGTGAGTATGCTTAGTCAACCCACCAACCTCATTACCTTTAGTCAGTCCCTTCCTATTTTGCTGCTTCCTCGCTCGTTCCCTCTTCCCCGGTCGACACTTCTTGTGCTTCGATGGTTTGTCTCGACAGTTGAGAAAAGGACAGTTCCTCCTGATTATCATTCGTTCCAGATCCAGCATATCGATTGACTCACAACGGAACAAAGGTAAAGCAACATAATGTCCAAGACCGCATCTACGCATCCAATTGTACAAACGGTGGTTCCTCTCACCCCGCTCAATCACACTGTTATTACATGTTCGGTACACGTGCTCATTCCACCGCACATCTAACAACCGACTAGTTGATCCCACATAAACATGTTTATGCCAGGGAGAAATCAAGATATAGACCAGGGGACCCTTACAGTGGAAAAGATTACTGTCATCCTTCACCATAGACAAGACATAGGTACGATAGTTGTCAGCCCATGGCAACAAACCACGGAGAACCATAAACAACACCACAATTTGAAAGAGAGAGTTCCTGGTAGCCGCACGTAATAGAGAAGTGGAAGATGACCAAGAGTCTCGACAAGATCTAGCCAAACCCTAGAGAGCCGCGTTTCGGAGGTCCCATCAAGCTGAGTCAGGGGGAACCTCCTCCACAACCGTAGTGCTGGCGTCAATAGCCGCCTCCTTACCGCGGCTTCGCTCGCTACCAGTCTCTTGCTGTCGAGCGCCCTCATCTCCAAACATCCGTGTCATGTATAATTGTGCCAGTTCCTCGGATGTAGCATCGGTAGTTCGATACTGCAATCCTTCCTCACGGCATAGCTCCTCCAGGCCAGATTTCTTCAGTCCCTTTAGCCGTTTCCTCTCGTCCTGAAGTAGGAGAAACTTGTCGTTCTCCTTCTTCGCAATGCCATTGGGTCGTGGCACACGGCCATATGTCATTTTCACCCTCCCCTTTCTCTCCGAGCGGAAACCGCTCCTGGCAGCTTCATCCATTTTCTCCTTCAGATGGGTGTCTGCCTCCCTCGGAGTACTGCAGCCTGCTTGTTCGGTGGATAGCTTGCCCATCTGCTCCCTCAGTCGTGCAAGCTCCAATTCTGCCTCCACACATTTGACCTCTGCATCAGTCTTCTTCTGCTTCAGCAGATCCAATTCTGTCAGGTCGCACTTTCGTCGCTCGTGTATATCCAGTAATTCTGCCCGTAGCCTCCTTGTTTCCTCCGGTGTCCCCATCAGCCGTGATCGAGTAGAAGTCCGTCCTTCCGTAGTCCTCACGTTGATACTTCCTCTTTTGTTTCCCAGACGCAGTGCATCATTACGCCAAAGTTGCACCACCTCTTCAGTTTCCTCATTACGCTTCTTCAAATTCTCCATCTCTGATCACAATTCATCCATCTGCTTTACGAGGTCGCTCCTACCAAGGGCCTCCCGACAATCCTTCATGTCGCGAATCTCCCATCTCAACGCGGCCACGTCCCCTTCCAATTTCTGTTTTAAGTCCGCTTCTTGCCTTTTAAGTTCCGCATTCTCCCGTTGCAGTCTCTCCACAGCCTCCGTAGATGGCAGTGGCTCCCTTATCCCATACTTGGTGCGGAGCTGTTCATTCTCCCTTCGTAACCTGATCATCTCCTCATTATGCGTGCTCGAACCCACTTTATCCACACCTTTCCCCATAATAGCCTCGAACATGGGTGTTAGCTTACTCTCCAACTTCCGTACCATTGAGTTCTCCACGTCTTCACGTTCCTTCCTCCGTTGCGCAGCCTCTTCCTCCTTCTCACGCTGCTTCGTTTCCTTCTCCTTCGCCTCCAGCTCCTCCCTTTCCTTCTGTTACGCTTTGCTGACAAAGGCATTACAGGTATTCAGAATCTGTTGATTCCTTGTCCACCACCCTGTCCGTGGTGTTGGAGCATACGACGGGTTAACCGGCGTAGCTGCTTGTGTTGCCGCAGCTGCCGTTCCCGCTGCCAGTAGGGCCAAAATTGGCTCCGCGTTGGCCCCCGTAGCCACCGAAGCTCGATATCCGATCCTTTGTGGATGAGGACACTCTCTCGACCAGTGGCCATGTTGCCCACAGCTGAAGCAGGCCCCACGTGGTGGGGCAGCCATATTAACAGGAGTAGAAGATGGGTGGAGGGGTGAGAAGGTCGTAGAGGAGGAGGAGGTCGACACCAAGTTGGACTACTGTTATCGTACTAGCGCAACCACACTCCCGCAATCTTATCTATACGGTGGTTACGGCTCAAAATGCTGGATAAGACGAATAGCCTTCCGAGCAATCATAAAAGTCAAATGATGCCCACGCCACTGGAAGAAGAAGAAGAAGAAGAAGAAGAAGAAGAAGAAGAAGAAGAAGAAGAAGAAGAAGAAGAAGAAGAAGAAAAGAAGAAGAGGAAGAAGAGAAGGAAGGGCGAGGGAGAGAAGGAGAATAGGTAAAACTCGTCCCAGATATTCCCGAAACACGACCATACGGCCGAAAAGATTAAAATTTAAGCACCGTCATCCACCAAGGAGAAGCAAGACTCTTTTATATCATGGTTTAACAATGGCTTGGTTTTCCTAGGCAAAAAATGTAATGAATTCTCAAAATTAATAGCAAAACAAAAACACATATGAGAAATGAAAATTTAGGAACAAATTCTAAAATATGAACAACAACAGTATCCGGAAACATTTCCCCAACCAGTTGATATCCAGAATCTTAAGAACCAACTTCTATCTCTTGCTCAACACCGTTGGCAAGGTCATCTCATCAGAGGCAAACTATCCAGACATCAGTCAGAAGGTCAAATGGATTCTTCATTTTTTTCCATTGCTCATGCAAGGGCTAGAAGAACAAGTATTGAAGCCATAGTAGACGCTACTAAGTCCCCGCAATCTGAACCTTTCACGTCAGCAGAAAGTCTTAAGGTAGCATATGATCTTTTTAAAAACCTCTTCACATCCACGGTTAATTCTACAATAGCAGAACAAGAAACACAGAGTTTTCTTACGCCTATGACTCAAAAGTTATCCTAGGAGCAAAAAGAAAAACTGGAGGACTCAATCACCAAAGAAGAAATTTTGACCGTCCTCCTACAAATGGAGGAAGACAAAACCCCAGGAATTGACGGTTTTCCCAAGGAATTTTGGGAAATTATGTGGCCTCTTTTTGCAAATGATCTTATGGAGTATTATAATTATGTGCAGGATTTTGGAAATATGGGGGAGATTGTAGGTCAAGGTGTTCTTACTTTGTTATACAAAAAAGGAGATAAGACTAATATAAGGAATTATAGACCAATCACCTTACTTACGGTGGTGTACAAAATGTTAGCTAAAGTTATTGCTAATCACTTTATCCCTGTAATGACAGATATTATCCATCCTTCCCAAACAGATTTTATTCATGGGAAAAACATACAAGATAATATTTTGTTAATTAATGAGATGGTCAATCTATCTCGCCAAAACCAACATAATGCTGCATTCATCTTCATAGATTTCGAAAAGGCTAACGATCATCTAGAATGGAGTTTTTTAGATGCATGCCTAACTAAACTGGATTTTGGTCAAAGGATAAGAAAATGGATTCAAATACTTCATTCTAATGCAACAACTCGAATCCAAGTTAATGGCCTACTTTCCCCAGAAATTAAACTTCAGAGATCGGTGAGGCAGGACGATCCATTAACCCCCTTTCTTTTTGTAATTATAATGGAAGCTTTGGGGGCTAATCTAAAGGAGTACCGCAACCTTAAGAAACTTAGGATTGTTGGCATTCCAGAGGAAGCAATTCTCATTTATTCCATGTTTGTGGATGACCTAACTATAATGATGGAGACTTCTTCGTTTAATTTTGAGAAAATTAAAACAATCATGGATAAATTCTCTCTGTTATCGGATATGTTAGTTAATTGGGGTAACAAAACGCAAGGGTGGTGGATTCATTATCAAAGGGACAGACCACCGGAACTTCCAAAGATCAAAAGGTTGCTACATGAGGCTCCAATCAGGGTGCTGGGAGTGATCCTCACAACACAAGGGAAACCAAACTCAAATGATTTGTGGATTTCTTCACCTCCGCTGGAGAAAATGAGGCAATGGAAGAATCAACAGACGTCCTTATTTGGCAGGGTTCTGATAATAAACAATGTCATTTTAACTTCAATTTGGTATAAAACATTTTTGTGGTCTTTAAACAAGGTGTCTACCAAAGATTTACAAAGACAATTCATTGCTTTTCTTTGGCGAGGTAATCATGAGATATATCACGTAATCCCAAGAGTGGCATGGAAGATTCTAATCCAACCTAAAATCAAAGGAGGTCGAGGGATTCTTGACCCATGTATTCAGTATCAGGCTTTGGCACTTCAAGTATTAAATTGGCTGATACTGGCCACAAATCTGCCATGGCAGGCTTTGACCCTTGAGCAAATTAGGAGACTGGCGCCCCAAACCACAAGTGAGGTACACCCTCTTACCTGGGTGGAAGATCGTTATTGGACTATTCCTCGATCAAATACTCATTCAGTAATATATGGGGTAAAAGGGGCAGCTAGGAAAGATTTAGTGTTGGACAATTTTTTGCCAACATTATTGGAATTATGGCGGGAATTACCATTGGGGCTCGTTCGACACTCCTCGAGCGCGTAAAGTCCCCAAGGAATTGTTCGTTCCACTTATCATCGGGGTTGCAGTCGGAAAAAGAAAAAAAGTGAAAACACTCCGAAGGAAATTCCTCGGGCTTCGAGGATTCCCCAGCCATTTCTCTCTTTTGCCCAAGGGGCCTCACGAGGTCCCTTGGGGAAAAGGAATCCGCGTTTCACGGAGAGGAGTGGGCACACGCATAGAGAGACGTTACAACCGAGAATCTGGATCGTGGCGGCACCCTATTGGCTGAAGGCCTTAAGCGCATTTTATTTTTTTTTTTCCCTTTTTTCTTTTCTGACATCGCTCCAAGGAAACGCCTCGGGCGACGTCCCCGAGGACAGGTGGAACGAAGGGCCCAAATTTCCTTTTGACTAAAAGGAATTTTTCCTCGGGCTCCGAGGACGCCCCAAGGAGTGTCGAACGAACCCCATTACCCAATAGATCTCCACCTTCTAGATATGAGGAAATATTACGTCAACCCATTTTTGGCAATCGGTGGATTACTGACCCAAATGATAGAGTTTTTATGAGCTCTGTATCTCCATGGTCTACATGGGTCAAGAATTAAATAATAAGAATTAAGGATTTGTGGGATTCAGGGAGTAAGAGTTGGAAAACAGTGGAAGTCATAAGGAAGGAAATTAAATATGCACACAATCTTCTCAACAATCTTGACGAGATCACAGCTGCCATACCCCTACTATGGATAAGTATATTGAAAAAGAGCCCAGTGTTTTTGGTCTCAGACTGGGTCTGTGGGAACCAACTTGACGGTACTAAGGTAGTGGGTCAAATTTTGGACACTCATATAGAAGGGGTTGTAGTGAATATGTTCAAGATACATAAAGACAACAAAATATCCAATAATAATCAGGATAAAGTGGGTTTTTTTCCTTTTAACACACTATACAGAGTCAGGACATTATATTGCTCATCGACTAAAGAATGGACAGTTTTCCTTCCACACTATCCCACTCCGGAACTTCCTTTGGATCCGGCTGATTGGAATTGGCAAGCAAATAGGAGGTGTAAACCTCAAAGATTACAGTCCTTGTCAGTTAAAGCATCCTACCAATTATTGAGGCCAAAAATAAATATTCAAGATTATTGGATCCGGCTGGATTCGCCATCTCAACATTCATAAGGATTTAATTAAACCAGTTAAGTGGTGTCAGGGTCTCAAAGAGAGACCTGCAAAGTTTGCATCGTTGCAATGACAGATAATTCATAGGTGTTTACCAACCAATGATTGGCTGATAGACCGTTCTACACTAGAGCAGAGAGGCTTGGCATTACCATGGTGTCAGTCATCTGTACAAGCCTTTCCTAGCAGGAAAATCAGGGAGACAATCGAACATGTGTTTCTGCAATGCCCGGGTGCAGTCTTGCTATGGCGTCGTTGGGATTATGTGTGGCAAAGAGTAACAAGCTTGGAATGGCCATGGGAATGGGCAGCTATACTTTTGGGACACTGGAATCCACCCCTGGTGTCACTATCAAATTTCCAACAAAACTTTTTCAGGATAGGGAGGAAAGTAGTTTTGTGGGCATCATGGTATCAAAGATGTGTTAATACAATGGAGGGTGTAAAGATTGAAAGCAAGGAAATGACAGATCTAATTCTACAATTTGTACAAACGGAACTCAAAGCTCAATAGGAAATGACCAAAAAGGTCCTTACGAATCTTAAACAAAAAAAAAGATATTAAACTAAAAATTCAAAAATTCAATCTGGACTGGCTGGGGGATGCTTCAGGGGCTGGGTGAGGTAGTCTGGCCAGGTGAGGTAGGGGATCAGGTGGTCTT